TCGCCTAATGCCTTGAGCATTTCAGGGCGGATTTCGTCAATTCCGGAAGCTTTTCCATTTTTCAAGCTTTGCTTTCAGGTTACTAAGCTTTTATTAGGTGACTACTTTGCCAACAGAAAATAGTTTGTGGCTTCTCCGTAGTCCGATTAAATCTAGTAGGTCTAGTTCTCAAAGCTATAACTCTGATGTGCCGCAAGGCGCCGTATTATGTCCTCTCTTTGTCATCTTCAATACTGAAGACCTAAGTCTCATCGCCCCTTATGCATAATCGAATGTGCAGATGACAGAACAACCACCACAGCTATCAGTAGCATCTCCATACTTCTCACTTACAAAAATAGCCTTTCCAGCTTCGTAAAAGGTTAGTCTGATATCTCTGGTATCTGATACTGGAATTTAATCCAGAAAAATGTTAGGAGATGTGCCATATAAATTAAAATACTGTAAATTTTCAGCTTTTATAGCTATGCGAGCTTTTTCCAAAATTGATTATGCTGAATTTGAACGTGTCAAGTCTATGAAATATCTTGGGGTCGTTCTGTGTCACAATTTGTCTTGGTCCGAATGTCTTAAGCTGATTCCTGATAAAAAGCGGAAGAACGTTTCTTACCTCATTCGTCTGAGGCAAGTAGTAGCACTAAACTCAATTCTGTACCTGTTCACCAAATCGTGCATTATCCTTTTTATGCTTCTTACCTGGACTTCTCAAAACCGATTTTCACGTTCTGCGCCGGACTTTGAAGTTAATAGCACGTACGGACTGTTTGAACCCTGAAGTCCTGCTCGAAGGACGTGTAGGAGACGTTCTGAGAGCTTTTTTCGGTTTGGCTGTGGTATTCTTTCTTACAACAATGATCCTCTTCATGTGGCTCTGTTGTCTTGTATATCCATGCATCCTTTTACAAGATCAAAAATGGTTAACATGTCGTGTTGGACAGAAATGATGCGAAATTTAGTTATTCCGGTTTTAGCTCCTATCCCGAAGGACCTGTCATTGCAAGCTAATAGATTGTGTAGCCAGCTATAGCCAATTTGGCTACCGTTTAACATGTACCTGTGGAAATCATTTTGTTTTTGTATTGTTTTACTGTGTACTTTGTGCTAACAAATGTGGTTGTGTGCTGTAAATCCAGATAGTGTAAAGTACAACACAATTAGTCACAATCCAATTTGCCACAATTAATGGCCAAAAACGCATTTGGAAATGAGATAACAAAAAAGAAAAATCATGCTTTTAAATGATAATTGCTTGGTACATGATTTGACCTGCATTGGAACATCCGTTCACTTGGAAGTCGAGCTTTTACCCAAAATTGTTCAGTAGTCCTGCAACCTCTGGACTTACGAATCATTCGTGCAGCAGTCAAAATGCATTGCGGGAGTCAACTTAGCAAAACGTTGTTTCCAAAAATAGTTTCGGACGATAAGTGAAAATTGATTTTAATGAAGCATATGGTGTGATCGCTTCAGCAATGTGGTTCTTAAAATAATGAACCATTTTAAAGTGTTGAAAGAAGGCGTCGATTCTTGCAAGTGGTGATTTTGAAATGCAGATGACTGTAAGAGAAGACTGGAAGAAAAATAAAGCATTAGGGAAACGAATTAGCGGAATTAGGGAAACGTGGGCTTGTGTAGTTGCTGTTACTGCAGTTACCGGAAACAGTGAAGATTACATTGATGCATATGACAGTTTATTGACATCGATTTAGATTACGCACTAGGAAATTATTGAAAATGTACAGAAATCTTCAATTAATGCCACAATCACTTTACGAGAGTGAAGATGACGATGAAACTGCTGTTGAGTCACGAAGCTTTAGGCAACATAAAAAAGTTTCTGAGTATTTGCTATTTTTCAGCGGTTATGTGATATCGAAAATTTTATTTTTAATAGTGCTATTGAAAGTATGAAACATTTGAAAACAACGGATTTTTGATAAAAATTTGATGATTATTTGATGATTATTTGCGTTTGTACGACTATTTTTCAATAAATTGGATTAACTGTTTTTCTTTATTTGAATATTCTCAAGAGTTGGGTCATAACGGAATATGACCTGTACTAAGAAGAATGTTTTTGAATTATGCTGTAAAGCGAGGCTGATAGAAAAAGGACAACCATTCGACGCCAACTTTAGCAAAACAGAGGGCTACCTTCGGATTTCTGCATCAGAAACTATACAACCACGTCACAACGTCTCCGCTGCAACGCTTTGACGATTTTCGTCGGTCTGTACGAAATTCTGAAAAGTCATGTAATGAAAGAAGCTCGTAGTCAATTGCGGAGCAAACCCAGGCTCCCTGGGCCGCGAAAGAGCTTGTCTTCCTGAAAGATGATATAGGTAGAACGGAGACAACTTCCTTAAGTTGTTCTAAGCCACCCGGCAACTGTACTCAAAATCATCGAAAGCCAATATTTCCCTTAGAGATATGCTTCAGGACATTTTGTCTTGCGCCACTTCCGTAATGTTTACGTCGTTGAGCTGCCAGAGGATCAAGGACAGAATGAGCTGAATACACGACAGTAAGGTCTACCACTGCAACAGAGGACCAGTGATTAGAAAAATTGGAGGGTTAAAAAATGTATAGAAGTAAAAATAAAGGGAGACACAAACAGATTTTAGAGTCCACATCCAAACTAGGCAGAAAATTCGAAAATCGAAGAAAGGTCAGGTGATCGAGTGGGGAACCGACTGCATACCCAGAAGAAACATGAGTTTGTGCACATAGCTTCAGATCATGAACCTTCTAAGAGAAGTGCACCGCAACAAACCGGTAGCTCGTCTTACTTCGTGTGGTTGCATATCAGTGTAGCATCGGTTGCCCGGCTTGCTGCTCAGGAAGCAGTGCTTCGATAGACATTAGACTCGGCGTCAGAGTTAACAGACCAAGTTCGAAGGTCTGAGTTTAAAGATGCTTTCAAATTTTCACGCCTTCTCAGAACTTGAGGAATCACAGCTGCGATGGTTTGGGTACGTTTTGTGAACGATTACAAAAAAGAAGGCAAAACAAAGAGCATTAATTGCTCGACAGATGGGTCAGAAGCCCGGAGAAAGGTCAAAAATAACCTGAGGCAAGTGTCTCGAAGGGCGCTGCTTCAGACTTGAATTATGTTCTTTCGAAGCGCAGATCCTGGCATAGGATCGGGAACGTTGGACACACTGTTTGATGCGTCTGCTTCAGCGATTCAAAAGGATGAGAGGTCATCGAAACTGAGTGACAGGTACTTTGGAACGCCTGTCGAATTCAAGCAGCCTCGACTTTTGGTTTTATTGTCCATAGCTGTCAACACATTAGTTTACAGATGAAGCCTTAACGGGATTAGCATTTTATTATTTTAACTATTTCATTCAAATTTGCAGATAATTGCATTCCAGTGCAATTTTTTACAGCTACATGAATTTTGTTAAAATAAACTGAGGACGCGGTTTTCAATCGTTCATGAAGCAGAATTTAATAACGTTCAGTAAGGCGACGGGCGGAGTCTCTTTCCCGGAGGAACGTCACTGGTAATTACTTGAGTTTCCACGTCTAGGAACTTCAATGGGGTAACTGATGCAGTTGTCGGCTTCGATGTTATGGCAGGCCTATTGCCACTGATCATTTCCTCATAAACTTTCCTCACATTAAGGGCTTTGTTCAGAAGGATATCTCGTATGTCATTAGGAGCTTTTCGTAACGATGCACGAGCTTCATCTTCCGTAATCCATCGAACCTGTGTTTCAGTAGCAACCATATATGCCTCAGGCTCTGCTCCACCAAGAACGCTCTTAAATAGATATCTGCCGTAAGACAGTATGAACATTTTCTACCACATTTTAACGTACCTGTTCTGTGCGATCCGTAACAACCTTTCGTTCCACCAGGGCATGAAAATTATTGTTTACTTGCTGTATGAGACTACAGCAATACTCGGCGTCTTTCATCTGTATGCCGTTCACTGCCAAAATTCGATCGTTTAGCTGAAAGCCGTCAGCAGCAATTGATCCTGGGACGATCTCCGTTACCGTAACTGTGCCGTGAATCAGGTTGATTCCAAGTCCCAGCGGTCGGCTGTCTTGCGCTGGATTGATCGTCATGTTGAGATATATGCAGTCTCCCTTCCGCTGAAGAATGATATCACGAAAATACTGGTCTTCCCTCGTCCCGACCTTTTCGATCCGAATGCTGTTTTGTCAGGTTACACACTAATGCTACAGACTGACAGACGCATCTTACCTTGGCTGAACGACGGCGGGTTTGAGCAAAAGCTGATTTTGGGTATGAAGAACTTGTTTCTTGTCACCAGCTGTAAACAGGTCACGCTGTCTTTCTATAATGAACGTTGTTTTTGTTTTGCTTTCAAAAATTAGTCGATTGAATTCTCCTTCATCTACCACCTTGGTGCCATTGACGGCCAGGATTCGATCCTCGCATTTGAATATACCGTATCCAAGAGAGTCCTTCGCTACATTAGTTACAGTTACGAAATCGTCTCTGACCTCATGTTGGATTCCGAGTGTCTGACGATCGACGCTTCCCGCGTAAGTAATAAATAAATAATCGGCACCCATGGCCCTCTGTTTCAGCCACTTCAGGGGAAAGTGCTTGTCGTCGTAACTTATCTTCTTAATTGTAACCCTGTAATCATCAGATAGCTGTAAACAGCTCCGCGCACAACGGCACACCTCTTACCGTGCAGCGGATACATGAGCTAGGCTAGTCATTGGTTGGATGGCAGGAGAGAGTTTTGCTTTACGGGGCCAATAGCTCAAATGCTCCTCCATGGCAACCGGCATTTGTTCTTGCTTCCAGCCTCGCGGTCGCTCAAAAATTACTCTGATCTTCTCAGACTTTTGCATGGCTTCTATGCAGCCTTCGATGCCACGCACCTTCTCTCCGTTTAAGGCAAGAAAAGTGTCGTTCACTCTGAATGCGTTTGCACCAAGGGACTGAGGTCGAACGTGTACTACGACGACACGACCACCTTCCATACTCAGTTTGATTCCTAAGTCTTTCATCCCGCCTGGCATGAATACGTCCGATACAAAATAAGAACTTCCTACGTTTCTGTCAGTGAGCCAAGACAGTGGGAACGCTCTGCCTTCAAATTTGATTTCATTACACGTTGCGCTGAAAAGTTTTAAATTTAGTTCGATTTCAAACGCATGGACTTTGCTAAATTTCAAATATCAGTCTTTTATACGTTCTATTATCGAATTATT